TAACTTAAAATCCGTTAGCATCGCCAAGACACAATGCTTGGACGGCATATTATGGCCTCGGATTCAAAGGTAATTATGTAACACGTTTGAATCAGAAAATTGCTGTATTACTATCTGTTTAAACCAAATCTTAGTTCCTAAGTTAGAACTGCGGGAGGACATCCTTGCCGAATGCCACTCCTCGCCTATTGGTGGGCACAAAGGCGTCACAAAAACATATAATAAAATTCGACGTAAATATCATTGGCCAAATTTGAAAAAGGACATTAGTGATTTTATTAAAAATTGTACAAATTGTCGGTAAGGCAGGTCTCCCTATGAACTTCGGAGAATCATATTATTATCTACCAAAACTGCTACCAGTTTTAACCTCCTGTGACGTCCCAGATGGGGTTGTCAAGAGGAGCATGTGGCCGTCACGCCAAAGCCTGGCGCCTCCGGCACTCCTACCGTCACGCCTCTTGTGACGAAACTAAAGAACTAGAAAAACACCACGTTAATAAACAATCGTTACTATTCAGTCTCTTCCGTTCCAACCACCGAGCTAGACACCGCGTACTTATGAGCAGTAAACAAAGACGTGAAACTAGTTACTACTTCCTTTTTCCTCTTTAAGATTTTGTTAAGTTTATTACATATTTTGTAGAAGTTCTTTTTGATACGTTTTATAATAAAATATTTATATAATATTTTTCCCTAGTGAATTAGTTATTTCCGAATATTATTGAACACGCTACAAGCAAAAACAAATTCTAATCTTCCGTTTTCCCGGTCAATCTTTTCAGAATTTACTCGGTTAGGAAGAGTACCCTGTTTTGAGTCAATCCGTGGAGCCGGATTTTACTCGGGATCTGGGCAAGAGGAGCCTTAATCCCAAAATAAGTAGAATATTTTACTTACCTTGGCGCCGCTGTTGTTTGATAGATGTTGAAGAAGATGGTTGATAGATGTTGATTCCGTCAGTAATTTGGATAGACCTCCCTGATAACAATTGAGGATTTTGGCCAACAGGAGCTTAATTCCAATTCACAACACACGATATTTGGTAAAATAAAGTATACTCTAAACAACAGTTGATATTCGAGATTATACACTCAGTTTACAAAATTTATGTTCACAATATTAGAAAGAAAACGACGTGTCACAGAACAACGTAAACTGAACGCAGTATTATAAAGATGAAAGAACGTACTCTTATAATATAACAATTGTACAAAATTGTGAATTGAGTAAATTATTAACTATTAGTTAATAATTTACAATAACCATTGAAAAAGTCTGTCTTCCAAGTTAACCGAATAATAATAAAGAAGAGTATCTTGAGAAAGACTACTCTTTTGTTGAAGTTTGTTAACGTATAAGGAAGACTTATCTTGAAAAAGACTTGTCTTATATAAGAGGTTGTTGTATTTGGAAGAGAGACTTTCAAGCAAAAATGTATAAGTACAAAATACTTTAAGAGTAGAGTTTATGTGTTATAAGTATAAGAGTTGCCGGTAGACTGCTCGAGAGGAGTCTCTAAGCTCCCCATGTCGAGTCCCGTACGGTCGAGTGAAAGGTACCCCCACTCGTGCTAAGTGCTTCCCCCACTACCAACTCGTGAGAAAGGAATGCGTCGACCTCTTAGCTTTGCACGTGCGAATAAATATTAGTTACCATCCAGCGCCAAACCGCTGTGTCAGCTGTGAATGGAATTTGCTTTAGAAAAAATATCGGTTACTATCATGCGTGAATTCTCCAAAGAGAGGAAGGTGTTAAGTTACTATCAGACAGAGATTCTCGAAACTGCACGTGCGCCCTATACCTGAGCCAACAGATTTCCTTTCATTGCACGTGTGCCTTTATCACGACTGTGGAAATTTTATGTGCAAGCTAACATTATTACCTTGCATAAATGTTACTAATTATTTGTTTTATTAATTAATTATAGTCGTCAAGGTTTATCCTTGATTAAAGGAGAAATAAGATTTATAATAATGTTATTTGCAGTAATCATTTAAATAAAGACAAGTGCCAATAATAACTGTTATATTAACCAAATGTTGAGAAATAAGTGTTGGTAGTGTAGGAGCACGAAGTCGGTATTACCGACTTCCACTTATCAAAAGACCGTTTACCGACTTCAGTTGTCGGTAAGGCAGACCTCCCTATGAACGACAATCGACATATGTTTTATTATTACCGTATGTTGTCTAAAATGATAATTATCGATGGTCGTTCATAAGAGTGCCTAATACAAATAGAATTTACAGTGAATATAAGGTAAACCACTTTACGGTTAATTGTTATACAACGGTAAATTATCCTAGTAATCGTATCGCAACTATGCGCAAAATGCAAATAAAAATATGTAAGTGACAAAATTTTAAAAATTTTCGTTAATATGACAGGAGGACAAATCACAATCATTGGGTAGTACGTTTGGTATACCAAATCGTCACTAGGACGTGACACCTCCCCCCTTAAAGAAGAAGCAATCAAGAAAACTATTTTCTGGTGCTTCGTAAAGGATCAAAACTACTGGGGAGATCGTCTTCCAAATTAAAACGTACATGCTTACCCGAATTTTGAGGTTGCGAGTCGTTTGTGATTTGAACCTCTGGCCGCTCCGATACGATTTCCCTTAATTCTAATTCTTTTACCTCTTTTGGTGTACCTTGACGCTCATTTCTGCTTTTCAGATGTAATAATAGGTTCGTCAATGATCCCCAAATAGCGCCAAGAAGGTGCATGCTCCACCCATACACCGTATGCAAAGCATAAC